CCCAGCCCTCTGCCTTGACCTCCCCCCAACACCCAGCCTTCTGCCCTGCACCTCACCCCCCCCAGCCCTCTGCCTTGACCTCCCCCCAACACCCAGCCTTCTGCCCTGCACCTCCACACACCCCCAGCCCTCTGCCCTGACCTCGAGTGCCCCCAACACCCAGCCTTCTGTCCTGCACCCCCACACACACCCCAGCCCTCTGCCCTGACCTCGAGTCACCCCGCTCAGCCCGCTGCAGGCCTAGGTGAACAGAACCCCAAGCTGGAAGCGGGCTGAGCAGGCTGGCGGCATAAGATCAGCATTTTAATTTAATTTTAAAGGAAGCTTCTTAAACATTCTGAACACCTTGTTTACTTTACATACAACAATAGTTTAGTTATATAATATAGACTTATATAGAGAGACCTTCTAAAAAACGTTAACATGTATTACCGGCACGCGAAACCTTAAATTAAAGTGAATAAATGAAGACTCGGCACACCACTTCTGAAAGGTTGCCTACCCCTGAACTAAGCTGATGGGAGGAGCTCTCCTGTTGGCATAGGAGTTTCTTCACTTAAGCACTGCATCAGCGCAGCTGCAGTGTTTTAAGTGTCCACTTTAACATTTAAGTGAACCAAAACAAGAACTTAATACTTCTGTAATGCTGTGCACATAAAACAGGAGGCACTTGAGAAATGGTTTAATATTTCCACATTTGGTTGTTCTAATCTACTTATATTTCATCTGCTTCCTATACAGTATTGCATCTTTTCACAAAAAAGTTACAGGCTACCAAAATGCTTCCTTCAGGAAGTAAGATTTTCCATGGGTGGGAGGTACACAATTGACAGCATTACTACAAAAGAAAGCGATAAATCTTAGCATAGGCAAATAATTGCTGTGCTGAGTTCCATTTGGAGTGTCAATCATTTAACACTCTGTGAATGTCATTTTTCAGATTTTTAACTCAGAAATATATTTCAGCCTCAATGTACTAATAAAAGGAAGCATCAATTATGCACCTGCCATTGAACAGTTTCATTTGGAATGAGCTAAAGAGAAGAGAAAGAAAGCTGTGCCAAAGCTACCGACCACGATAAAGTCAATGGGTTGGAGGGGAAGGAGTTGGTGATCAGAAGCAGTTACTTGGATTTTGATTCTTGTATTCACAGAGGTTGAACAGTCCTTAGGTAGAAGGATAACCATGTCCACCAAAGGCAGGACAAATAGTAATGGTCTTAATCTGCAGCAAGGGAGATTTAGATTAGATATTAGGAAAACTTTCTAACTATAAGGGTAGTTAAGCACTGGAATAGGCTTCCAAGGAAGACTGAACTCCCCATCACTGGAGGTTTTTAAGAACAGGTTGGACAAACTTTTGTCAGGGATGGTCTAGGTTTACTTGGTCCAACTCAGTGCAGGGGGCTAGACTTGATGACTTCTTGAGGTCATTTCCAGCCCTACATTTTTATGATTCTATGATCGTATAACCATGTGAGACATGGGTCACCCAGAAAAAACAATTCCAGGCATCAGTATTTAAGCAGTATTATACCATATAGCTAACCAGTTCATAGAATCCCAGGCTTTCCAATAAATGATTTTGGAAGAATTTTACCTCAAAACGCTCGTCCTCACATCTGTAGATGTGTTCTTCGTATTGTGTCTTCTTGGAGCTAACGAAGGTAGAATCCTCAGACCAGGAAGGGAAGGAGACCCAAGTATCATTCAAAACCTTAGGTGAAGGAGAAAAGCAGAAGACTGATGGATCTTTTCTCTGAGCCATCAGAGAAGCAGACACCCAAATTTATATTATCACATGTTCCTCTGACAAGGAATCTCAGATTCCCAACATCCATTGTCTCTTTTCCTTGGTGAACATGCTCTCCTGTACATACCACAGGATCCCTTATAGCCAAAACTCGACCTTCTGGGCATGCTGCAAAAGCCATTGATTTGACACTGTCTGGGGGAAAGCTAGATGTTTTTCTCCTAGGGAAGTCAAAGAGAAGGGTAAAAGAAGTTTTTCTGCTGCTTTGGATTTATTGGCTGGCTGAGTTAAATCTGTTCTGTGAATATGAGTGTTTAATGATACTGGGTTATTGTAAGCATAAGATGCCTATGGCTTTTTGTAGGGACTTTACATTCAAATATAGATATAAGCCTAGTCAGGTGCTTAAATCCATTCCCTGGCAGCTTGGCCTCATTCTCAAAGGTCCTGAGCAACTGAACTTTGACCGACTTCAGTGGGAACTGGGGTTTCTCAGAACCTCTGAAAAAAGAGGCCAAGGTGCCAAAACACAGATTGGGAGACCAATTTCAGCTAAGTACATTTGAAAACTTTGGCCCGTTTTCACAGACCGTTAAGTGTGAGAGGCTGAATCACTGAACTCCTGCAAGGCAGGGTTTGTTATAGTACCACGTAAGTCATCCTTTAGAGACATGTTACATGTAAGGTTTTCAAATGATGCAATTGGTTTTCACCACGTTATTACTTCCATTTGCAGGTAACTGGTCAGCTACATCCTGCCTTTTTTTCTCCATGGCATCATGAACAAAGCCCTGCCTATCCCCTCAAATGGAATCTTGTGTCAACGTTTATGGTGGCAAAGACTTTCACAGCCATCTAGGCAAGACATTTAGCTATGCTCTGGGGTTCCCCTCTTCTCCAGCGAATCCTCATAATCTCGCTTATAAACCACTGGCAACTTAGCTGACCTCCTGTAAAAGTCCCTATCCCACCCCCATCAGAACCACTAGCCTTCCTCAGCGGATAGGTAAACAGTACTACCCAGCACCATTCCTGCATTGATCTAAAAAAGGTCACTACAGAGCACAGCAAGGACTGGGCACACTCCCTGACTCTGCAGCACCTCCTGCCAGTAGACCAGAAAATGAAAGTTTGGTTGTTGATCAGTGAAGTCTCTATAAACTGAACAGATTCTTTTTAAATTATGTATTCTCAGACTCCCATAAAGTTTTTCTGGTGTACATACACACCACAACTGAAACTAAGGAAAACTTTATGGAATTCTCAGAACACACAATTTGTGAGGAATCTGTTCGTGTGTTCTCTCTCTCTCTCACACACACACACACACAGCTGGTAGCAGCACTACAACTGAATGAGGCAGGGGTTCTGCAGAAAAAATAGTATGTGATGATGAAATTAAAGACTATCATAAAGCATATGCACATGGGAGCAAATTAAGGTTACACTGGCAAGCTTTAGCATTTCCTAACTTCTGAGAGCTTGACTTTACAACTTTTCAGCATACTAGAGTTATGCAGTCAACTCCCCTTATTGGTCCTTTCTACCAACTACCACTCCAGTCCTAGCAGACTGGAAATGGGCTTCCCCAAGCATGCAATTCCTTTGGCTAGAGTGCCTTACCTCTTTACATAGCGGAGTCCGCCCGGTGCACTTGGGCTGCTGGTAACTCTTGGGCAAGGCTCGGTAGCTGGAGCCCAGTCTCTTACAAGAGGCATAGTCTATCTCCATGGCAATCCCCTCTGTAGCCCGTTCTTTTGGAAATGTCTCCATGTGAACAGACTCTTTGTAACCCAGAAAGTTTTTAAACCAAGTGAACAGTTCTGGGAATTTCCTAAGGGAAAAGAAACATACAAGAAAGTCTTGAAAACTGTAGAAACTTCGAAATCAAATACCAGTGCTCTAAGCTATTGGGGTCAGAACTGCCACTTGAGAGAGTCAGTCCAAGGCGGCCCTTGGAAGTCACATCTGAGGACAGAAGACTCTTGGCCACTCAATTCCAGTTTGCGGTGGCCTGGTAAGGGGATGCCAGTGCAAAAAGTCATTCTGCTTTTCTTTGGATTGCTCCTGCCTCTATTCATCTTGAAGGTCTTTTTTTTTTTTTTTTTTTT